CGTTTCGCCCTTCTCACTTGGTCCTTCTCAAAACAACCATTCTCAAGAAGACCTTCTCACTTCGACCTGTCGCATTTGGCCCTTTCGCGTTTCGTCCTTCGTACTTCAACCCCCCTCATTTGGGCCCGTTCTCTTTTCGCCCTTCTCACCTAGGCCCTTCTCAGAACAACCCATTCTCAAAAAGATCTTCTTTCTTTGACCTGTCGCATTTGGCCCTTTCGCGTTTCGTCCTTCGTGTTTCAACCCCCCTCATTTGGGCCCGTTCTCTTTTCGCCCTTCTCACTAGGCCCTTCTCAGAACAGCCCATTCTCAAAAAGATCTTCTCACTTTGACCTGTCGCATTTGGCCCTTTCGCGTTTCGTCCTTCGTATTTCAACCCCCCTCATTTTGGCCCGTTCTCTTTTCGCCCTTCTCACCTAGGCCCTTCTCAGAACAACCCATTCTCAAAAAGATCTTCTCACTTTGACCTGTCGCATTTGGCCCTTTCCTATTTCGTCCTTCGTATTTCAACCATCCTCATTTGAGCCCGTTCTCTGTTCGCCCTTCTCATTTGGCCCTTCTCAAAACAGATATTCTCATAAATATCTCGCTTTAACCCAGCACATTTGACTCTTTCTACCCCAAATTTGGGTTTTTTCGAGTAATATATATTCATAAAATCACTAATATTTTCTTTTGTGTGTGTGCCACGCTACCGGCCTACTCTCTCTGCCAATGATTATAGCCGCGCGTCGTGGTCGTCGAGAAAATATAGTGCCTGACAAAAGAACAGACCAACTACTTATCGCAGACAGATCACATTCCGAAATGTCGTCTTGTTTGAGGTGGCTCGACTTGTGACAATGCAACCACTTCTATATTGAACATACATGTGCTATCTCTGTTCAAACAGAGTTTCCAAGTTAAGTGTTCATCGTTCTTTCTTTTCTTTGCGTTCGTTTCGAGAAAGGAAAGCAGCTACGCGTCATTGTACAAACGCATTACGTTATCTTGTAGTATTTGTATTTTTGGGAGGTGACAAGTGTATGTGTGTGCGCGGGGGGGGGGGGGGGGGGAGGGGGGGGGCGGGGAGGGGGGGAGGGTTACGAGAGATGTTCGTCGGTAAAAGATAGTATCCATTTCTTCGAATGCAGAAAAATGGATTCGACCAAGCTAAGGAGTGGGGTTAGCTATACTTCGACTCTATATCTGATGGTATGTTGGGTGCCCAAGCAAGGTAAGACTCAGGTACAAAGCCGGGAAGGCATGATGACGGCAGAAGCCTGCCAAGCTAGTCCGATTCGGTCGTAGCGCGAACGGGCAATATGAAAATGAGCCCAGTTGCAAAAAAAGAAAAAAAACGATTCGGATTTTATGAGAATGTTCTACCGAGGTGGAACAAGTGAGAAGAGGACTAAATGCGCAAGGCTCAAATGCGAATGGTCTATTTCAGATAACGGGCAAAATGAGAATAGGCCCAGTTGAAAAAAAAATGATTCGGATCATATGAGAAGGTTCAAACGAGGCGGACGAAATGAAAATAGGACGCAATACGCAACGTCCAAATGCGAATGGGACGTTTTCAGATAACGCGCAAAATCAGAATAGGCCCAGTTGAGAAAAACCTGATCCGGATTTTATGAGAAGGTCCAAACGAGAAGGACCAAATGAGAATGGGACGAAATGCGCAAGGTTCAAACGCGAATAGGACGTTTTGAGATACACCCCCCAACCGCTGCTCCTTTTCTGCGTGCGAACGAACCGCGATCGGGCGGTGCAAGTGCGGCTATCCAAAATAAAAAAAAGATAGGTGACTGCTTGTATTTTTTTATTAAGAAGTGAAAATCTAAGGTACATAACAAATGCGCATAGATCTCAACACAAACTTATACTGTATGCCTGTTTCCGGTAAAGCTAAGAGAATGAGAACCTTACATGAGAGGCTTTTCGCAGTTGTTGATAGAGGTACTTCGTGTCAGTTATTTATGTAGAAAAATTAGAAAACACGGATCGAAAAAATGTGGTCAGCAGCACTTCCAGATGCTTTGGGGATGCCCGGGCACTGAACAAATGAACACTTTGCGCTGCAGCATAACTGGGACGACGTTCCCCGCCGCCGCTTTGAGTGGTTGCTTCAGACGTCGCCTTCTCGCTCGAACGACTTCAACATACTTCCTCAGTAAGTACATCCCCCACAACTGCCCAGATGGGTGGATAAGTCCACCTCTATCCTTTTGTCTAATCACTGCGTTTGATGGGGCCGAGGACTTGGGTTCACATTAACCAAACTGTGGCATTCTTCGCAAGCGATGCTCTCCCCAACAGCTCTTGCGAGGTAGCCGCCAACTTCGCGGATTGCGTCTTATCATCACAGTGCTCCAAAGCTCACTATCCGCCAAATTAAAGCGTGTTAAATATTTACAAAAAATGCCCCATTCTGTCTAAGCTCACTACGTAATCGTAAAGAGCGCTTCCGGGTCTCTAAGCAAGACCCGCAGCGATCACCTGCAGCTGCCACGGCTAGTCCGTACGAGGAAATGGTTATGGGACGCGACCACCCCTTGCGGGGAGTCGAGGCAAGAAGAGAGGCGGAACTGAGAGGGAAGTAGACGGCCTCTCCAGCATAATCGGGCAGGCGCTGAGAATAAAGCAGGCTAGGTATTGAGCAAGTTCAGATATTTGTGTGATGTGCCAAACTGGCTAATTACACATGTCAGTAGTTAATGTTTTACACGTTAATTTTTCCAGGGACATCCTGTTGCAAATCTTATAGTGTGTGTTGAGAAACATCCCATCGTGTAGTTTCTATAAAGGTAGTCTTTGCCTGTCGATTTTAGCGTTGAAGCTTTAAGGAGCTCGCGTTACAGAAAAGCCGGCCTCGATGGCGTGGCAGAAAAGTCGGAGTCAGTGGCGTCACGCGAAAATCCTGATTGGTCGATAGTGTCATGCCGTCCCAGAGGCATGAGCTCACCCTCGTATATCAAACAACCCACAGCGCTCACCTGACGTGTGACACGCATGGAATTATATTGATTGAAACTTGACATGTATTGCAAATTAAAGGTCGCCGCATGTCTGAAATTATTTCCCATTATAAAGTAATTTATATACCTTAAAGAAAAATTTAAACACTTTTAGGTGGGGTTCAAGCCTACGACCCTTCGGTTGCGACCCAGACAGGCTACTGACTAGGCCATGTCCGCCGCTCCTTCTGCTCACTGGTAGGAAGAGCGTGAAAAGCGAATAAAGCGCGAGACACATGCGCGAGACACATGCGCGCCACAACTGTCCGATTCGACGTGCCAACTCTCGAAACGACGTTCAGAGGCGAGGATTTTCGTCTCACCGTAGCATCGGGCGGGGCTTCGTCCGGCACCGGCATGCGACCAACTTGCCAGAGAGTCGCCGCACTGCTGTCCGATTGTCGGAGGGCCGCAGCCACTGGCAGCACGGAGGGCGCGAACGTCATGTTGTCAGGCAACTTTCGGACCAATCGGGAGAGGCCCAACGTCGTGTGAGTGTTACGTGAACTTCGGAAGAGAGGCAGCAAAGCGCGGGGTGCGTAGTCACGTGATTTATACCCAGCGCTCGCTTCGCTGAGATGGCTCCTAAGGTCCGCTGCGTCCATCGTGATTATGTGAAGTTGAGCAGAAAAGCAATCTCACGTAAAATCTTCAGACAGGCAAACTTTATTTGAATATAGTAAAAATACTGTGTTAGTTTTTAAGTCAGAAAAACTACGAAGGCCGAAGGGAGTAAGTTAGGTTTCTAGGCTGGGTGGCGCTATCCAGCGCCCGTTATAAATACAGCCATTAGCATCCATCTGGTTGAGGGATAACGAAACTGGGCGGAGCTCAACTACAGTGGCCTGTAGCTGAATGAAACTACGTCATGACGCATCAGAAGCATATGTTTCTCGAACTGTCGAGTGCGGCGAGTGGAAGCAGCCATCTTTCCGGCAGTTCTCACGTCGGATCGGACCGTTCTGACGCGCATGCGTTTCGTGCATGAGAGGGCGTTCGAACGGGTCCCGATAACGCTGTCGCCTTCTACTCTTAAAGGCAAAACTTAAGCGTCCTCCACATTTTCTGGTAAACTAAAAAGAAAAACGCGTCAAGTGAAAAACAAATTTTCACATGACTATTTGCCAGCGGACTGGGATGAAAATCGGTCACGTGTGCTTTTTCTTTAAATCTCGGACACATATTTTACAGCTGAAAAAATTAGACAAATAAAGGCTAGCTACCGTAATGAAAACTTTATGATGAGATGTTTCTCAACCCGCTCAACATTGTTTGCACTAATGTGCTTTCGCACAAATTATTTATTGAAAAGTTAGCTAATTACTTTATGTTAATTACTCAGTTTAGCATACTGAGAAAAACTATTGAATATACTCAATAAGGCTCAACAATACCGTGTTGGTTTGGTGCGCCTAGCGTGTACCAGCTTCTTTTAAATCTTTACACAAACCAGTTGAAACACTCTTTATAGTTGAGGGCCCAAACGGCGACTATTCTACATAATAGCAGCGCTGCGTCTGCCATTTTGCCTTTCCGACTTTCGAAAATCATCTTCATCTGTTAGATTGCGCTAAGCAATGTATCCCGCTGCGCACCGCACCACTTCTATATTTTTAATGATCGTATTTTGCACGAAAGTGCAATTAACTTATTTAGAGAAGAAATCCGACGAATCTAGACTCACAATTCAGCCTATATTTGCCCTTGCTTATCAATATACGTATACTGAGGTTTCAAGAGCAAAATAAGCGTACATTGTGTAACTGCTGTACAGCACTGTGCGCGTTGGCACTTCGACTTCCATCCTGCATTTGCGGGAGGGAAAGTTGACCACGGGGAGTTTCGCATAGGCGCTGTAAATGTATAAGTTGCAATCGAAGCTTTAAGATTTTGCTGTTTCATTTCTCATCAGGTATTACGACATTAAATACGCTACACAGTTGTACACTTGGTGCAGTAGAAAGGAACATCTGCTAAACATATCGAGAGAAACCTTACTCTTCGTTAGTTGACGTTGTGAGAAGTTCAATCTGTCCGTCAGGCAAAGTTCCTTTGTTTGCGTCGTATGTCATCTTGCATAACCGGTGAGAATCTTCTTTTAGTGAAGAAAACTTCAATACAAGACTGCCGTATAAAAGACCCTGTAATTAAAGCACATCCACGCGGACACCCTTGTTATGCGATAGCTGAAAAAAGCTTTCTGGCTTTGGCTTTTCTAAAAAAAAAAAAAAAAAAAAAGACCACCGGTATGCTTCCTATAAAGGACGATTTCGAAGAGGTTATATAATAAACGGGACGTATATTCCAAGCTATGCAATACACGCTTAAATACCAAACGGCCGCTTAACTGCCAGACCGACACAGAACAAGGAAAGTCCCGAAGAAGGAACGTATTTTCAATTGGCTATATTAATTGTGTATAAACATAAAACCAAAAATACAGTAATGCAATCAAATAATCTATACATATAAAAACAAGAGCACTATTATAATTCAAGACACAGCTGGTTCTTCGATACTTTTCTTTGACAAGAAGGGGAGCACCGATGCGAGACTGATTTTCATATAGTAGTGGATCATAGTAACTAGTTGTAGATCAGGCGTTCACTGTAGTTTAAATGTTCCTAGTAAAACTGTGTCCTTCATGTTTGCACTCAGCCGCACTAAACGGAGTGATCTGCTTAGTGGGCAGAGTGGAACTCTCTGGCTGTTACAGACTGCTCTTCTGCATCTTCTTGTCTGACCAACCTACTCTTTAGACTGAAATGGTTTTAAGGATTACTTGGGAAAAACTCTTTTCGAGTTTTACTATCGGCCGTTGCAGCAGTCACGCCACAAGTGAGACGTCATAGTGGGCAAGCTGATTTTAATATATTTAATTCACAGTATTGCACTCATGGACTACAAATATTTGCTTTAGCCACTATATTCCACCGAGAAATGTCTAGCCCATCATTAAACCTGATTGCGACATTTTTTGTGCGTTGTGTAGATGGTCAAAATTTTGCTTGGTTCAAGGGCCTGTTACCCGGCGAATTGAAGAGGTCAAAGTCCCGCAATAAAAATATTCTGTCGAACGGAGCGTCCGATGCCTCCTACCCAAAGGCTGTCGGTGTCCTCCGAGCGAGCTTATCCAATGATCTAAAACACCTAGATAGAAATGACTGCATTTTCTACATCCTCTATCTCAATTGACCGCGGGAGATTGCATACGAGTACTGCTTCAGCATTCGGCTGGGGCTCGTGCTAACTCAATGCCCCAGACAGACGCTAACGCTGTACTCGCGTTTAATTTGTGTCCATCGTTTGATCAAGTTACGTGGCAGAAACTTTTTGTGCAAAACTTGCTATCTAGATAGTGCTGACCGATCCGATACGTTTGGAAATGTGTCTAGGTCCCAAGACTGCGGTTGTTCTACGACCAGCTTAAAAAGGGTAAATTCATCAGAAAAAGGCGGAGCGAAGCCCGTGACAGGAGGAAGAGAAACAAGGAAAACACAAGCCTGCAATGTACATAACGCGACACTGGTAGGCAATCGTCTTATTTTTTTATTTTTCTCGTGTCATTTAAAGGCTATAATAAAACATTGAAAGACCTTTACACTTTTCTATAGCGCGAAATTTTAGTACGCTCTTGGGGTATTTTAGAGTCAATTTTCACGTCAACTTTTTCGCTAAATTTAGTTGGTAAACTGAGTTTGTCAGAGGTCTCATGGAACGGTCATGTGACATCATTTTTTTTCGATAAATTTAGCGGGAAAGCTGAATTGTTGTTAAAGTCATGTAACGTGAAATTCCCCACTAAATCTAGCGGAGAAGTTGAATATGTGTGTGGGCAACGTGGCGCGAAGTTGTGACATCATTTTTCCCGCTAAAATTAGCGGGGGAACTAAATTTATTAATAGGTGCCTTGGCACGAAGTCATCGGACATTATTTTTCTCGCTAAATTTAGCGGGGAAACTAAATTGTTGTTGAGGTTACGTGTCGTCAGTGTTTCCCAAATCTAGCGGGGAAATTCAATTTGTGTGGGTCACGTGGCACGAAGTCCTCTGACGTCGTTTTTATCTCTAAATTTATGTGGAAACTGAATTGTTGCTTGGGTTACGCGACGTAAATATTCCAGCTAAATCTAGCGGAGAACCTGAGTTTTCGTATAGGCCACGTGACACAAATTCGTGACGCCATTTTTGCCGTTAAATTTAGCGAAGAATCTCAATTAGGGTTGGGGTCACATGACGTCAATTGTTCCGCTAAATCTAGGGGGAAACAAAGTTTGTGCATAGGTGACGTGACCCGAAGGCATGTGATGTCCTTTTTCCTGCTAAATTTAGCGGAAAAACTGATTTGGTGCCGAAGTCACGTGACGTCAATATTCCCGCTAAACCTAGTTGGCGAGAGGTCCTTTTTGGGAGCAGTTTCTCCGCTACATTTCGCGGGGAATTTAATTGGTGTATAAGTTTGTGACATTCCATTATGCAACGCGCATTTACGCCGACGCCGACGCCGACGCCGACTCCGCTAAATACGTGAACGTACGCCTAAGAGCTGCTCTCTAAAACTGCTACTGTAGCGGACTGTTCTGCGACGGGACATTAATCTAACTGATCAAAAAAAAAGGGGAAGGGGGAGGAGTGTACACGTCGTAATCCTTACTGAGCAAGATGCACAACATCATCTATGTTGTCTTTACGTTAGAGTGCCGCGAAGTATCTTATGATCCCCCACAAAGAAGCAACTTTACCTTTGGAAAATCTTGGTATTTTTGAAGCATTGGATCTTTTTCACTAAGCGGCGTCTGCAAGAGTGTAAAATGAGTCGAAGTTAATTTAGCGTGTACAATTTAATAGACACAATAAAAAAGGAGCTTAGTAGCAGCAAATTAATATATGATTGTTTTACCAAGAGATGGACGCGAAAGAGCTATTCAGCGGATTGTTCATTATTTTGGCAAACACGAAGAGTATAATCTCAAACAAACTTGATTTTTTTTATTGCAATCACATCGGTCGCCGAGTGTGTTAGCGCACCTCAGGTCGGCGTAATCGTAGCGCAATTTCGGCCTGGAGAATCCAGGGTTGTTGGACTCAATCCCCACACCTGCCCGTTTTTATCTGGATGAGCACCGTGCCAAAGCGCCGTTATGTAGCACTACTGCCTGGTGCCCGTTAACGTCAGGCTAGAGGTCATAGTGTACTCGCACAATTTATCATGCACAGCGTTTAGGAATCCCACCAGAAAGTCTAGCAGACTAAACTTATACTGTCTATGCATATAATGACCAATTTTAGTTTGACAGATTTTGTAATTATAGCTTTAGATTTATGGTTTCCAAAAAGCGCTGAAAGAAGTATATTCGGTTACTGTGGCAGAAATATGGCTGATTCTATCACATCTAGGCCGTTTCCAAATATTGACATCCTTTTTTACAGAGCAACTTAGTGTTGCATATTTCATTGTTTCTGTCCACCGTGGTTTCGTTCTCTCTGCGTAATCAAACTCTGCTTGATTCCGCAAGTGCTACAGATCGCAGGTTCGCTTGCCTTCACATGGCCGCTGTAGTCAGCAACGTTGACTCAAACTGTTGACATCGACAGAGATACGGCATACCCTCACCCAGTATTACCTTCCGACGAGTATTACTAACCCGGCATTTTTCGCATTACGAAATCATCAGGTGCGCAGCTTACTCTGTAAACATTATGACAGTCTCGACTTGAGAGCTTTTCTGAACGAACGGTTGCATAAAACATCGCTTGACACTAGGGCCCCCTCACAATTACACCAAAGCCGTTACGTGATTACGACTTCATAAACAATACGCCTTCGTATTGTTTATGATGGGTACTTTGGAAGGAGATGTTTCTACGACTACGAATATATTCTTAAAAATTTATTGTTGCAGAACTCGTTAAATAGAAGAATAGCTCGCGACGTTTTATTGTTATATAAGGCTGTACACGGTCATGTAGATAGTGAATTAGGGTCATCGTTAAAATTTCCCGTACCGGCACTTATTGTTAGAGGATTTAGTATATTTTACCCCTCCATTCAATCGAAATTGTCACCGGTGGTAAGGATGCAGACTTGTGGTAATGAACTGTCCTCTCATGTTGATATCGTTTCATATATATCAGTGTTTAGAAGGGAGCTATATTTTTCTTTTTAATTCCTGCTTGCATGTTAGTCTGTTCTTTTTTACAAGTGGAAGACATTGTGTTAAGTTATTTAATGTGGCACCACACTATGACATAGTGGTCGTTCTGTGGCGTGATTCAAATAAAGCATTAATATTATTCTTATTATATACCTCGAATAATATAAACAGAAGTCTACCAAAGGCTTTCTGGAGAACGTATTCAGCCGTTTCCAGCCCCTGATCGTTGCATGTTGTTTCAATTAACAACAAGGATATGACTTGGGCAAGAATGATGTAAAGCCATTTTCTTGTATTGATCGCACTGTAGACTGTCTTCGGAGTTCCGTAGTAGTTGTCCTGCGTCCATTTTCGGTGAGTGATCTTACAGGCTATTCTGGACGATTTAGACAAACAAGACTGTATATTGCTTCAGGCGGCTTCTACGAATTCAAAGTCACGCACATCTGTCTCTATAATGCCCCAACTACATTTGAGCAGATGATGAGACGTCCCTTAAAGAGTTAATGTGGGCAATGTATTTGCTACATAGACAACGTCATTCTTTTTTTTCTCTTCATAGTTTGTATTGTTGATCAGTTGCTGTCTGTTTTGAAAGTAGCAATGTCCTCCCTGAATTCATCAAAGTTCCATTTTGGGAATTCCCTAATCAAGGTTCTAGGTCATCTGCTCGACATCCAGGGCGTTCAAAAGGACCCCTTCAAGATAACATTCCTTCACAAATTCCCTAATTCCCGATGACAAAGGGATGTGCACATGTTACTTTGGCCATGCTGATACTTTTCACAATTTATTCGTCGATTCGTTTCATTACTCGTCGCCTAAAACTTATCCTGACGAAAAATCAACCATGTTGCGACAAAAATCAGAACAGAATGTTTTCGTTCGACCGAGTTTTAGGATATCTTGTCGACTTCGAGTTTTGCACGAAGACCACGCACGGTTCAGCCGAATGAACAAAACTACACGATAACCGAGCGGGAGTGTCTGGCCGTTTTCATTCCGTGTATTATTACAATATTTCCTCATTTTCTCTTTCGTATGCAGTTGTCAACAACTTTGGACGCTGGGCCCCCGTGCCCATGAGTACGATGTTAATTTTTTTTCTTTTTATAAATGCGGGAAACTAAAAAAAAAGACGACAAATGCTTGCCCCAGCATCCAGCTGGCACTCCTGTTCAAACGGCCGACGTCACCGATCACATCAAACTTGATATCATTTGGTTTATATCGTACTTCATTTCAGTTTGTTCGTCCCGGTGCTCATTATGATATTACATTGTGGGACAAGCTTGCCATTTGGTGTTTTAACATTTTGATTGGGTACCCGGTACGTCTTAAAAGTTTGGAATTACGTTGCAGGATAGTTCGGATAGAAAGAAAAGTCGACCTAGCCTACAGCGAAACGGTGACTTTTTCTACCGTGTCGTTCCTTTTACGCTGGCCCGCACATTTTCGTTTGAGTGCGCTCGAGTTTGTTGCATTCTCTCATGACGAGGGAACACAAGAGTACACTAGCGACATTTCTCAGATAGTCCAGGAACACCTTGAGCGTGCCTACATATTTGTACTACGTTTTACGCATCATTCGTTAACATTGAGGTTGAAAACGTTCTGACCATGTTATAAGCTACATTCCTCAAAGATAGTGCGTCGAATTGATGTCCGATATACCGCGAAAGTTTCACTCTAGTTTTTCTCAGTTCCAAAGCTAACAGATGGATGACGCCAGCGTGCCAGTGACTTTTCATATCGTGAACGGTTATAAGTAGGATGGAGAATTAAAATCAATATATTTTAAATCGAGATTTAAATCAACATTTAACTCGTGATTTAAATCAATCCGGTTTTAGAATGATGATTTAAATCAAATTTTTCCTGGGAAATAATTACCCCACCAATATTTATTTTTTTTACCATTTCTCTATCAATTTATGCTCTCTATATGCATTCGCTTCGTATTTAAAACAGAGTCAGCAAGCAAGAAAGATTTATATCACGTTGAACACAACCGCAAAGCAGTGGTCTTCGAAACATATCGGAACGCTTAACTTTCTTTCTACAATTAACCTATTTCGTAAGTTACGTAACGTTTTATTGCAAAAAAATACGAACGCTAAAGAAAAAAAAACAACTAACACTTGTTCCATTGCAAGAACATTTTAACTCGAAAAAATTAAATGCAGCTTTTTCCCTTACCTTAGAATAGCAAGAAATTCGTTGCTACTTTCGCTACGTAGTTTACTAAATAAATATGTGCTAATTAAACTGCCTTCTAATTTTACGGTAATTCTTTCTTCCGCTTTGTTTTCAGTGACCGGACGGATTGATGAAACAATATGTCAAGTTTAAAAGTATATCTAGTGATTCGAAAGCAGCACATTAGAGTTAAATGGAGTTCAATAAAAATATTTTGATTAAAAAAATATTTTTCTTTTAATGAAACAAATATAATCTATTCGAGTTTTTCGAACAAATCATGATTGCTTGTACCCTCATCACAAGATGACGCAACTCATTCGAGCGCAGTCAAGCGAAATAGTGAAAACCCGCCTTATTTGTTTATTCTTGTGTTGCCTGGCCTGTTAGTCAGACGGCATTTTAAGATGATTGCTTGGCTGCATGTCCTTCAAAGACAATAAATGATCAAGTTTTAACGTTGATTGCACGATTTTTTGCATGCGACCATTTGGATATTAGTGATACCGGAACCACTACTGCAAAATTATCACCAATTTGATTTCTATCTTGTACTCACGTAACGCCTTACATACGTGACATACGTAATAACTTGCCAATAATTCAGCACGGAATAGGATAGATTTTTATTTGGTGTCGCATCACGGATGATTACGTTCCGGGATAGTTGTGGAGAATTTTACACAAACAAAATTATCAGTGAAGATAAATTCATAGGAAATTTGCAACAAGGAGCATGAGTTGGCGTTTACTTAGTCAGCATGAGATAGGGAACTCTGGCCCGCGAGGCTCCGGGCTCTGTTATTAAAAGCGTATATGTACTTTAAATGAAACAATAAAATGTTTTTAAAGATACCGCACTTCGAGCTCTTTCCCTTTTTTTTCAAAAGCTTGTAGGGACTGGCGCAACTAAATTTACGTATCATGAATCTAACGACTTTTAAGCTTTTCTATAGGAAATAAATTGTCCATGTGAAAGTATGCCAAACAATTTTAGTGTCATCCAGATTTAGCCTAATCTCTGGTGTTGAGTATAAATATTTAGCACAACAGGACCAGCAATGCTAAAGCGCCTCTAAGGACTTAAGCTCAAATGTCTTTGTTTAATGGTAACTTAGGTCAATACATTATATTAATACCGCAGTAATTGCAATATATTTCTAATAAATGTGAATTCTAGTTTTCTCAGCGCGTTCAGGGTCATTTGCTAATTCAGAGACGAACACGCTGAAAGTATTATTCAATGCCCTCTTTGATGTCACGACGAAATATGTGACCAACTTTCTCCACTAAAATATGTAGCGACAGCTCATTCGTTTGGCGCTGAATATTCACATGGATGTAGTAGATGCAGATGCCACGTGCTCCTCCATTCTACTGCCATTTTGTGACAAACTAAAGCTTTCATACCGATTGGTGAGGTGTTCAGGAAGAACTTGAGAATTTTGAAATGATCTGAACAAATAATTACATACTGAACTTTACACGGTCACTCATTCAAGTAGTACACGTGTTACATGTTTTTATTTTGTTAATTTATTTGTTTGAATATTGCCGCGCATATATATATATATTGCAATACATGTAATCTCAATATTTCCTTTCTGATTATAAGAATCTTATTTTCAAAGGTTTAATTTTTGAAAATGAAATCACCATCTTAGTACTGAACCTGAATGTATTACCTGGTTCACGAGTTATCTACATGAAAGACAGAACTGTGTTAGGGTTTTAGGCTACTTGTCACAACCTTTCATGTCTATTTCGGGTGTACCTCAGGGCTCGAATCTTGGTCCGCTGTTGTTAGTATTTTTATAAATGATTTACTGTCCTTCGTGAAACACTGGCAGGTGCTCATGTTTGCAGACGACGTTAAACTGTTTCGGCAGGTCAACACTATTATTGACTGTGCTTTGCTGCAAGAAGATGTCTACTCAGTAAAGAGATGGTGTATTCTGAACAATTTACTTTTGATCCCCCGCAAAACCCAAGTGATGTCTTTGTCCAGAAAGCGTAGCACATTATCTTATATGTACTGTATGGGAAATGAAACTATAAGTCGGACGACAATAGTTAAAGATCTAGGGATGTTTGTGGATGATCACCTTCCTTTTAATTCTCACATGAACTCCATTCTTAGCCAGAGTCTACGACAGATATTTTGGTCGTAAATGTTATTTCGAATCGAATTTAATTTTATCCAGACTAAATCTTTGCACTTTCCATAACAGAATATCTGTCAGGGATGTAAAGTTTTTGCACAGGTTGGTCATGGGTCCATAGCCAGTCCTGCGCTTCTTGCTTATTTACACTTCCGTATTCCCGTCAGTGCAAACTCTAGAAATCTCAAAGTTTTTTTTTTCCAAGATATTCATAGCAACCTATCACCGATATCACAAATTCAACATGTTTTAGACACAAAGTTTTACAATGTTGATATTTTTTGTACGAAACTGCCTCGTGTTTGCACAGGGTTGCTCTAAAATTGCCTAGACTGTTTGTATAGGTATTGATGTAAACCATATGTATAAGTTTTAAAACATGTGTATAATTTCAAGCATGTATATTTGTGATGACTATGTAGTTTATGCTTCGCGCTTCACCGCAAAGGCTTTGAGCTGTTGGTAAGCACGCGAAAATAAACATTGAATTAAATTAAATTAATCATAAATAATTTGTAGTGCCAGGTAGACTGCCTTCCCTTCTAAGTAAATTACAGAAGTGTAATTTTTCAGATATATGAAAGTTGATAGGGATCAGATATGCATTGGGGGGTATATAGGCGTGTTATACTAATTGGGATATTCCTCCCTACAAGCACAACTTTTACATTGGTAAATATATGGTTCCACTTAATTATAGTTTTTGGGGGGTTGAAAGTGGTAGATGTACCGAGAGGATAACGTTTTTTCACACAATGTGTCGAACAAAACAATATCATGCTGCTGATGAATGAAGTACCTTGATTATCTCCCCAGGATTTTCATCCCGTGATTTAATGTCTGCGTCATTCGTTACAGGAGCTGCAGATGTGACTACAAAGACACAGAGGCCACGAACCAGCAGCAGCCACACTCTGAAACTCAGGAGCAGGGGCATTGTCGTCCTTTTCATTGGAAGGCTTGATCCTGTAAAAAGGGTTTTTCTTATACTCACCACAATTTCAGTGTCTTAAGAAAAAATTTGCGCAATATGCAAGGTAGAAAGAGAGTGACAAGAAGTATACTGGTATGACAGATAAGCTCTCAACTAGTCATTTATTAGGAAGACGCCAGCAAAATAAAAAAAACGTATTTGGCAGAACACAACTGTGCGGTATAGACAGGTACTTTTTTATTTAAGCCACCAGGCGTGAGATTACTGTAATTATTTTCGTTCTCTTGCATTGCCTAAGTTTCGAGCGGTTCCTTGCGAATTTGTTTGTGGCCCACTCCCCTCATTAATCTCAATAGCTTTTTTTTTTAAGTTTGCTATACATCTGCTAACCACAGATTGTACAAAGAAATGGATGTATGAACTTCCACCTATAATTCCATTTACTAGTTCAGCCTTGTCCCTTCTTATGTTGAAATACATTTTGACGCAAATCCGACGACAGCAAAAAGTTCGCCTTCAAAGACCTTCAAGTTCACTTCATCTCTGAGATGCAATTTGTTGTAAGTAGATATTAAAATTTTCCGATTAATGAATTCGTGAGAATAATTAAAGCTCGCATGATAATAAGAAGGAAAGCAAGATTCGCTTAGCAATCGCCCCCCCCCCCCCCCCCTGCCCCTTAAGTATGTAGATGCTATATAAATATCCAACAGTATTAGATCTGCGCTATATACAACAATACAAAAGTTTGCATCAGTAAGCATTGTTAAGAAACCCGTAGTAAAAAAGAGAGCGACTGCGATGACGACAAAGGGAGGTATAAAGGACAAGTGATGTTTTTCACTATGTCTTTGTCCAAGTTGCGCTGTCTTTCAATATGAATTCTTACCAACTCGTCAAATGTCCATTCTAATATTGTCATGTAAACCTGCAATAATGCGTGCCGCAACAAATAAGAAATGATTCGTCCGAACCCTGTGCGTTTATTTTTTCAACATATATAGTGTTGGAACTTTAAATAACGACTTGTTCATACACATCTCTGTAGCATCTCCCAGTAAATTTCGAATAGTCTAAATATAAAAATGGTACAGGGAAATATCTATATAAAAATTTAAAGTTATTTTGAGCCAAAGCTTGATAACGCATATAATCCAATCGTCTTGTTGATTTTATATATTTGTTTTATTTAGTCATTATTAGACGTGTTCAACATTTTGAAGTATGAAGTCATTTTGAACTAAATCCCCCAATCCTAAAATTTTATCCGTCCATTCGTAAATCCGCCCGGTCGTGCCCTTCCCGCTAAATTTAGCGGGCCAACCGAATTGCGCCCACGTTACATGATCTGTACACCGATTGAGTTGCTTCTCCAAAGTCGGAAGGGAAATCGATGTCATTTAACCTGACATCACGTGGCTAATAATCAGGTTCCCCGCTAAATTTAGCGGGAAAAATTACATCACGTGACATATGCACCAATCCAATTTCCCCGCTAAATTTATCGAAAATTTAATATAACGTAAACTGTCGTCACGTGACCTATGCACCAACTTAGTTTCCGGGCTGAGGTTATTGGAAACGCGACGCAGGGAAACCGTTCGATACTCGTACCAACTGATATCTCGCCCGGCACGCCGAGACAAAAGCACACCGATCGGGAACTGCTGCAGAAATAGCCACGTTCTTCGTTGAGTCTATCGTCCTCAGACACGGCGCTCCCCAAGTCCTGATTGCGGACCGAGGATCCTCGGTCATGGCTCAGCTGATTCAGATACACTCCGCCGGAGCCACACTGACCGCCGTCGAACCACGGCGTACCATCCGCAGACCAACGGGCTGACGAAGCGACTAAACAAGACCATCGCCGACATGATCTCCATGTACGTGGATGTGCAACACGTGACGTGGAGTTGGGTGTTTCACTGCGTCATGTTTGCGTACAACACGGCGGTTCAAGGAACCCCTGGGATTACGCCCTTTCAGCTGGTGCACGGCAGAACGGTGGCGACGATGCTCGACGCGATGCTGCCCTTCACCCGACGAACGACGGCACCGACGACGCCCAGCTGGTCACCCAACGGGCAGAAGAGGTACGCGAGCTTGCTCGCCTTCGGATGAAGGTTCAACGACGTGTCGACGCTGGCCGGTACAGCCTTCGTGGCCACAATGTGGAATTCCAGCCCGGAGAAAGGGTGTGGGTATGGACCCCATTCTCCGCCGCGGCCTCAACAAGAAACTGTTAAAACGCTACTTTGGAACCTACAATGTCATTCGCCGCTTTTGATATTTGAACTACGAGGTGCTCCCCGACGGAGCCCGACCTTCACGACGCCGTCTACCACGACCCGAAGTGGTCCGCGTAGTTCGACACTGGCCGTTCTACGCACGTTAGGACTGTGACGGTGCATGTTTATTTCGCCTCATTGTATTTTTATTTTTTTTAGAGCGCAGCTTTTAGGCGCTCGTTTCCGGCTTGAGCGGCGTCGGCGTCGCCGTCGCCGTCGGCGTCGCCGTCGCTGTCGGCGTAACCGCGCGGTGCATTATGGGACATTTCCCATGATGCCACGCGCGGGGAGGAGGAGGGGGAGGAGGTCGAGGAGGAGGAGCACGAGGGGGAGGAGGAGAGGAGAGAGAGGAGGAGGAGAGGAGGGGAGCAGCTTGAGGGACGAGGGGAGGAGGAGTATCAGGGAGGATGAGGAGGATGGAGGAGGGGTATAACCTCCCCTTCGTACCCTTCCCTCCTCCTCCTCAAGAGCTGCGCTCTGATTCGGCATTACAGGGTGTTGTAAACGTCTTTTTTTTTTCTTTCAATTTTGATTGGCCATTTTTGTTCTCTTCTCGGGTTGCACCGGGACGATGCGCTTTTAAAGGGAGAGGAAGGGGGGGGGGGGGGGGTTATGCCGCGCGCAGGACCGAGGAAGCAGCGCACGGTCACGGTATTCTAGAATTCGCATTTTTTTATTACTCGGGCAGTAACTTAAAATTTCGCCCTAGTTTCTTGTTCTCAAAATTACCCGATCATTCCTACCCCGAACGCTCGATGCTCGAACCTTCTGGGCCAAATTTTCTCGATGCTGACGCACACTATATATAGAGCTGCCCGCGACCTTGTCGAGAAAGTCTCGCTTTGCTTGCTGTTGTAACCGCCAAACGGCCGCACGCTTTTCTGCTGTCTCAACACTCGCCTTTTATTCTGTTTGGCACAACTTCGCCTTTGTTTTCCGTTTAAATTTGTTGAGCTCCTTGCAATCTGTGACAATATTATTCATACTCATGTTGATATGATACTGGCTAGCGCTTGCAAATCTTTAGGATATATGAAAAGTAACTTATTTTTTATTACACGTGGTAATAAGATAAGAGCCTGGAAACGTGTTTTTAAATGTGTCGAACTGCACCAAGCCAAACATCACGTTAGGTAACGACTGACTATTTGTGAATCGCAAGCTTAATGGCACAAATACAAATCCCGAACTATACCCACTCACAGAAAAAACCAAGCTCAATATTGTTATTTTAAAACTTCAAGATTTGTGATTTAAGATTATATTTTAAACGTTCGCTAGCAAACACACCTGATCAGCCTGGAACTCAAATCTTTATCTGTAAGAGGTAATTAAATGTATATATTTCGTATTCTCTGCATACAACTAAATTAAATTTTCTTCATGAAATAAATTTAAGATGCAAGGAACAAGATTAATGTCATTAACATTCCAATGCACATCTGGACTCATTTTATATTTATATGAAGTTCAATTGGGTTCCGATCTTGTCTACTTAAAGATTGGAACGCCATCTGTATTAATTATTTTCTTATAGGCAATACTTTAGTAATAATATTGTTAACTTTCATTTTGTACAGATGGTAATGTAAAAGGCAAAAAAGCTTTAAAATCGAGTTTGACGAACCTTCAGACCAATAGGAAATCGGTGAGCCACCAGTCTGTACAACGGATGACAAAAGAACGAAATCACTGACAACTTTGTATTTTATGTGCTGTTTAATTGTGAGTCATATGTGTTATTGTTTATATAATTTGTTTAATGATATGTCCTCGTGTAGTTAATTTTTACAGCAAAGCTGTCTATGGCTAGGTACTGGCGGATCGCCTCTGGCGACAAACCGAGCGTAGACCAACAATTTTCAAATTAAACGATGTATGCCCCACTTTATAGTCCTCTCCACTGCCGCCGTCTCTTTCCCGAGTCTGGTATACTCCTCGCCACGCGCGGCCGTCTCTCTCGCCCCTGACATACCGCAATGCCGCGCGCTCTTCGGCGGCCACCTGTGCGGCGTACTAGAGCCTGCGCCATGATTGCCGTAGCCGCGCTAAAATAAAACGACTCTCCCCCCTGACATACCGCAATGCCGTGCGTTCTTCGGCGGCCACCTGTGCGGCGCACTAGAGTCTGCGTCATGATTGCTGTAGCCGTGCTATAATAAACCGTCATTGTCTCTACCCATAAATCGCGTGTGTCTTATGTCTCTGACGTAGAGATCGCGCTATTGTCCTTTTCAGTTGTACTTCAGACTTCACATCGGTCGCACCCATGTTGTACGTTCCGAAGAGGAGCAGCGGGAATACGAGGAGCATCGGCACGCCCAGACGCGAGAATAGGCACGCCGCCAACGTGAAACCGCCATTGCCGCTGCTGCCAGCCCGACAAGAGCTTCTAGTGCCGACCAAGCTCCCCCCGTTGAAGACCTCGCCCGTGTTACGCGCCGTCGCGAGCAACAACGTCAGTTCAACTGGCGCCATCGAGCCAACGCCACCGACGATGATCGAGCAAGAGAGGCCGAACGCAAGCGTGACCCATACCACCTAGGCGCTAAACCATCGGAACGCCTCCCCGGCGGAACCTCGAGATTCCGGAGAGAGTTCATCGAGAACCCCTTCGGCGCCACGTGTGTCGTGTGCGACTGTCACGAGATAAATTATGACAACCGGGATCTTTGTGTTAATGTATCTTTGATCGTCCTATAATAAACTTATAATGGCCACATTCAACATAGCGAATCCACAATATAGCTAAACACCAACGTAGCAGACTCCACCGGAATGCCAGCTTCGCTTGACTTCCCTCTTTACGGGCTGGAAGGGCTCTCAATTGGCGTTTGAATTCTATCAATAGCATACGAGAATATATTGAACCGAAATGAAATGCTAGACGATCTTGTTGTTCAGTGTTATCATCTCAGGCACAAAACAAGGTTTACGGGGGCTAACGTCGCCCTTCGTCACTTGCACGAAATCTTGCCTTGCCTTGGCTTTGAGCGCTTTATCGTTTTATCGGTTAAGTAAATAGCCCATGTACCTGAGTACCGACGCATGCCGAGTGAAGACAACTTACACTAACCAACGTCAGCACAGTTTCGCATATAAGATTGTAAAGCAGCGAAGTTAAGAGCGCTCAGACTTTCGCTTTATCTACTTTTGACTATGAACGGAGTGCGTCATTCTACCATTCCTAAAAGTAAGTTCAGCGTGCGATAATAACAGTCAGGCGGCGCTTGTTTCCTACTTCGAGAAGCGATAGAGCGTACGCAAAACGCACCGATATTGTGTGGCAAGATGTATGTACATTTTCACTCATGTTTCTATGGGCGCCGCCAAGCTAGAACCACAGAACGCAACCGCCATTAGCTGGCTTTAATTCGTCGTTCCGGCCTTCCCTCTGCGCCTTGGCGAATGCGTTTTGTTTATGTTTTGCATCGCGTTTCACCGCATTTATTCACTTACTCTGTAAAGTGATGTCTGCCCCGGATATTTACTGCCTAATTGCAAGAATTAAAATTAGCATTATTGCACTTTAAGTATGTAGACGATTATATGACCGCGCGAGGACTGAGAGGCCAATTACTCATGACTGCGCAGATTAGCTCAGTGATAGTAATAAATAATTCAATGCGCATTTGTGATCATGCATTCAGAACCTAAAAAACGTGACAAAATAACGATCGTTTTCTGAAAGCGTTCTGCTTTGCCTTCATAAGGAATTGAACATGGTTCCTTTCGATTACATGAGATGTATAAGATACGTAACAGCATATTTATCTTCCATTTCATCGGAATCATAAAATAACGGTAACGTCAACATCAAAGAATATGTTTGTTCTTAACATTACATCTAAATATGCTAGACGTTCTTAATTTCTTTGGCAACAGGAACATTTGTTAATTAGTTTCTTAATTATTAAAACCTGTACGCCCTACTCAGTCCCATGTCTGCTGCACTTATTCAAGCGCTTTAATAACTGTCTTAAATATTCAAGGTAATCTAAATAATTTATTTTAATACAAAGGTTGGGACTCCCCGGGTGAATAAAAGTATCCCAGACACATTAAGAGTGCCCAGGCCCGCATTATGTGGCATAAAAATGAAGCTGTATGCATGAAAATCCCCCGAGTGATTTTCATGCATACAGCTCCCTAAGGGATTTTTTTATCAGTGACTGGCGACGTTCAAATAGAAGAAGCACGTGTTCGAACAAATAAAGATGCCTTCTACGCAATTTCATGAAGTGGAGCCAGCTATTCGACTGCAGCTGAACTTGCCGGAGATAATTTCGTTTACGCGGCCTTTGCCCAGTTTTATGCAAGACAAATGTCACACTTCGCTTGAAGGTCCTGTGCATTATCTCATACCCTATGTATGTTGTAGCAAATGTCCGTATAACATATAGCTTATTTGAAAGTGAAAGAAACAAAAGCAAACATAACTCCAACCAAATCTTTAAAGGAAACCCAATGTTTCGAAACCAGCTTGGTTTCGGAATGAAAGCGGCTATCTCGGTCACGACGGCAAAACTTACTATTAAAACAATCGAACAGAAAGCTCTGCAGTCTTTCCCCAACAAACGCAGAGCATTCACGCGCCATGTCGTATGTTTCTGCGTTCTCAAGAAATCAGACGTCAATAATTTTCTGGCACACTTCAACTTCATCCAACCGGCCATTCAGTTCACCGTGGAAGGAGAGACGGACTACACCTTGCCGTACCTCCAATGAAAAGGCAAGGAGAACATCAAAGGTTTACAGCGTACGAAAACCAAAACACACTCACGCTTGCTACCTCGATCTTGGCTCCAACCACCCAACGAGTCACAAGGCGTCAGTGGTTTCGACACTCCTGCGTAGGGCAGCGACTATCTGCTCGTCGGAGTTCTATAGAGGGAAGAAAAAGAGACCATCACTGCAGACCTTAACAGAATATGCCTTTTCTAGTAGCTTCATTGAACGCATCGACCGATTGCGAGGTATCGCCAGAAAAAAGCAGAAGCCGCTAGAATAAAGTCAGCCCCATCAAGTCGCGCGCATCAGCGCCCCCTACGTAAAGGGGACCACCGAAGCGCTGGCGCCATTACTGGGGAAAGAAAAAAAATTTGGTGACACTCAGGCCCGTGTCCACACATGATGGTTAATGCTGAAATCCGAAAATCGCTTATCGAAAAAAAAAAAAAAGCACAAGGCGGGTTTTTTTTACGACTCCATGCGCAGAGCTCTCTTCAACACTTTCATCGGTAAGACGAAGAACTTCCCCGATCGAGTACGCCAACGCTACAGCGCCGTACGGAAGTTCGACGATAACCGCAGTGCCATCACCGAACATTGCAAAACCCTAGACCAGGGGTCGGCAACCTTTTGCAGCGGGGGGCGGAGTCGGCACGAAGCCTAAACGGACAGGGGCGGAGGGAAAGTCGCCCTGAGTTCGCTGCGATTGTGTTTATGTGCACATGGAATAATATTTAGGTGTCTGCATTTGTTTGTTTTTTTCGTTATTGTTTATTATCGTTTTTTTTTTTTTGTGTGTGTGTGAAAATATGGTGGGAATGTGTGATTGGTGTTTAAAAGTATAATGTAAACGTCCTATTTTTCGCGGACTCAATATTTCGCGATATAGGTAAAAGCCATAGTTTTGGAATGATTCGCGGGTTCTAATTTTTGGCGACGCGGTGGGATGGCAATGTGGATTTCAATGAGTTTACATTTTACCGGAATTGCCCGAAAAACATATTTATCACGAATTGTAGGTTATTCGCAAACTTCGCGAAAATCAGGTCCTCGCAAAAATTAAGTTGTTTACAGTATAAAAGATTGTGGTCTGCTTTAGTTCACTTCAAACATTGTTTTATATAATTTTTCTGTCCCTGCTGAACGATGTAAACGGCTGGTGGAGCCTCATCAAGCGGCGTTAGTTTGTTTTTGATCCTCCAGCAGAGATACAATAGGTCGGAATAAAGTTCCTGGACGTTAAAGTAAAAACAGTTCATTGATTCTAATTAATAATATTATTATTATGATTACTAATATTCTATAGGTTACTTCAATTTCTTTCCTGAGACGCTGGGTTCTTTTCCTTTTTCTTTATTACTTTAGGTGCCGTAGGTTTTATTTTTACCTTTACGTTTTGATTCCGGACAGTGTGCACAATATCTCCTGTGTACGATATCGGCGATACTCAAAGAAAAGTGTACATGTGGGTGTTTGATTTTTTGTTCGGCTCCGGTTAGCTAAGTTTGACGTTTAGATAGTAGGACTATGGTGCCTGGAACGCGTCTCCGACTGGTGTGTTTACCGCGTCCAAAAAAGTGGTCCCTCGATTTCCGCCTGATGACGTCATAGAAGTGTCATGCTGTCGCCGGTCGCGACCCTGGCGGTGTCCCAGCAGCTGTGGTGGGTGTAGCAGACGTCTATTCTGCTGCAGGTCGCTCTCCAGTGTGACAGTCCACGGAAGCTTCAGCAGCCAGAAGTTGGCACGCCCTGACGACAGCGACTCTCGCGTTCGCTCGTGCTTTTCCCCAGCACTTCTGTGACCAACCGCCAGGATCACGACAGGTACCAGCATAACACTCCGGCATCTGTGACATCATTTGTTACCACTTCGGGACTACTTTTGATGTATGAGCAGGATAGGGGGCTAAACACACCAGTCGAAGACGCTGTCCAGGCACCATTGTAGGACGGCCTCGCACAAGCCACACGTTGGCTTTGATGGGCCCGTTTCTTTAACTTTTTTTAGTCTGCTGTGGCAATCAACGCTACTAAAACACTCAGTAGGGGAACTCATCCTTGAAACCTGGACCACTGGCGTCCACCGAGCAAAACTGAACACGATAACAGCACCACCCTTTAACGACAAGTCAAAACACAAAAGTTGCTTTATATAGCTACTGCGAGATGGCCCTGAGAGATGGCGCCTCGGGCGCCTGCGCGACTCGAAGAGTTAAAAAGGAAGGGAAGGCCCTACCTGCCCAAGTATGCCGGAAAATACCAATGCGCCAAGAAATTGAGGGAGAGTAGGAGAAGAGAGCGCGGGGGGACGTCAGAACGGCAAGCTCTGGTTGGTATGATTCGTGGGCAGACCTAAAGCTAAGTGCCTTCGAATGACGTTGCCTAACGTCAGAAGCCGACGTTCCTTGTTCTAGGGCGTTCGACGCCTACTGTGAACACAAAGGTTGCCTTTGTCTCAGTGTTGTACGGAACGGCGTTTCTGGAACGCGTTCCTTTTCGGAGGAACGAAGGAACGTCGCCGTTCCTTTTTGCATAAGTGGAACTGCAACGGGAATGCGTAAGATTTTTACTGTAACGAAAGAAGGAACGCGCTCCTTTTTTTTCGTCCATTGAGGTAATTTTTCATCTATTTCTAAAAGGGAAGTTCTAAAATGTATAAAAACATTATCGTTACGAAGAGCAGGCTCTTGTTAACTTTTTGTTACTTATCTTAAGGCACACTTGTGCAACCGCGTACGACCGAGAGGGACAAGACCTTTTTTTAAGCAACTTATGACGGCGAAGGACCTGCTCCGCATCAGCGCGTCTGGGCCTACGCCATCGTAAGAGGCTTAAAAACCGGTATTGTCTCGCTGAGTTGGATTCGGCTGCAAGTAGGTGAATGGCACTTTGAGGCCCTTTCACATAATTTCAATCGAGTCGGACCGACCTAGGCAAGACCGGTTTTTAAGCTTGTTGCGACGACTTAGGACCTGATGCGCTGCTGTGGAGTTGCTCCTAAGACGTGGCAAGAGGCTTAAAAACCGGTCTTATCTCTTTCGGTCGTTCTTAGTTGCATGTGTGTGAATGGGGCTTGATGGTTTATTTTGTGATGTTTTCTTTTGGTAACAGTTGGGTGCAGGAAAGCTAATGGACATTGATACATTTTTTTTAGTGGCTGAGACTGCAATGCAAAAAACCAAAACTTTTAGTAGAAAGAAAAGACACAGAAAGAGGGACGTCTCAAACTCAGTTACTTTCTTTGATTCCACGAATCCTCATACACCATAAATCTAACGCCGACCACAGCCATCACTTAACTTTCAGAGAGAGACCTACAGCGGCTACAGAAAAACAGGTGACCAGACGTCAAACGCAACCTTGTATCCCGAACCTTGGTCAGTTAAAGTATACACAAATAGTAACCTTTATTCATTCTCCCGTTGTCCCCCACCTTAAAACAGAACAATGAATCTAACCTTTACGAAAGACTGGAGGCTTTCAAGAGGAGCCTTCCAAACATCCTACCCTCTTCTCCACTTGCTCGTCTTGCGGACAGAACCATCGAGAAGCATGTGTTGCTAAGTTCGAACAAGGAACTTTATTAGATTGAAACGTATGAGATTGTTGTAACACACGCGTGCCACAGTACATTTGGCTCGTCTGAATCGCCCACCACAAAGATGAATATGGTCCAAAGCTGAGATTTTTAAACGTGAATATATCAACAAATGAAACCTTGCTTTCGCTTGTTTTCTTCTCCTGTCCTTCCATCACGGCATTCAAATTCGTATGTTGCCATTTGCTGGGATATATTAAAAAAAAAAAAACTCTGTTTGATTTAATTGAATATGGTAATGATCACAATACAAATGTAACGTATATGTAACGGTACGTTCCATCTTTAAACTGAAACGGGAACGAGTTCCTTTTTCACTAATGGAACTTGTAACGGGAAGACGTTGAAAAAATCAGAAGGAACGACCAACGATCTTTCGTACCTTTTTTTGAGGAATGTGTACAACACTGCTTTATCTCCACTGCGTTCCTCGGGCGCGTTCGAAGGCGGAATCCAGACGACGAACGCTAGCGTTGGTGTTTTAACGCATTTGTCGAGTGCAGTGGAGACAAAGGCTGTTATGCGGAAAGCAAGACGTCTGCTTCCTGCAAAAGTGGTTGCTGTGACGTCAGAACGACGCCGAGTTGTTATTGGCTTTGATTGGAAGGATAGTGGATAGACCTCAATGCTAGATGCCTTGAGGTCTACCCACTATTTTTTTTGTTCAGTCACTAAGTGCTCGGCATTTTGACATCATCACCACCCCTGTGCAAAAACCAGACGAACTTGCGCTCCGCATACTTCGTCTCAGCTCAAGTCAAGACACAGTCAACGCAACGAGGCAATGGGACTAATGAAGCAGCGTCAAAAGCGCCAGTCACTAGGTATTGTCCGTTCATGGTCTAGCGGCGATAGAACACGTACTGAAAAACGACGAACACCTCGATGGAGCGCCTTTGACGCTGTCCGGATGGTTCCATCTGCTCGTGGCGTCGGCTGCGTCTATACTTGAGGCGATTCGAAGTATTGCTTTAGGAACACCCACGAATCATACCAACCACAGCTTGGCGTGTGCACCTCTTCCTCAGTTTCTGGACGCATTTAAACTTTTGTTTTTCATTGAGCATTGAAGCAAAACATAACAAAATCGTACATCGATATGGAACGATATTGTCGTTTGCGACGCGCAAAAGCGACGCCTGGCGCGAATTCCAAGGGCACGCCTCACTCCAATCTCTCCCTACCATTCAGGCAACACACGTGCGACCTCACCTAAAACATTCCGGGGCTTACATCGAAAACGCGTGCGCATGTTAACGGGAGAGTGAGGTACACGTGCTGTTCCTTTCTTCTTCTTGCACGCATGCACGGGTCGCGGGACGAGTCTCTTACTAATTGTGCCATAGTGTTTATAATGCCTCGTGAGAGGGGAGAGCCGAGTGAAAAAAAAAAATAGCTGAACAGAAGAGGCGACATGCCGAGCTTGGCAGTAATCGACGTGCCAAAGAAATGGCGATGGAGAGAGAGCGAAGTTTGGCTAGTGACATAGGAGCTGAACTGGCTCGTTCTGTTAGGATGGAAGGTTGCCTGGAGAAACGAGGAGCAAACGCAAAATCGCACTACATCTTTACTGATTCGTCTTTAGTGGATAGAAATCTGTGGTCATTTTATGCCTTTTTAGTATTTGCCAGATATAGAGTCATCGCACCTTAATCAGCGGAATGCAGCCTTCAGAGAACATAAAGAATGACATAACTCATTTTGACCCACAGCGAAGCACAAACAAACGAAAAAATACAAACACGATTATTTGTGTTGTTTTTACGTTTAGGATATGTTTCGAATGTTTTGCCATACGTGTTCCCGCTGTGACGAACTGGTTACCCTAGACTGAAACAAGAAGTCATCAGAACACTTTGAATTATATGATAAAAGAAGCCATGGTGTAATACTCCAGTCACGGGCGCATGATTCCTCATGCGGAGCATGCTGCGTCATTAAAACAACGACATCTGGATGCCATACAGCTTGAAGCTGGTTCTGAAGACACTGAGATTATGTTAGAATTTTCATAGTTAGCCGCTGGTTATTTAACTATTGCGTGGTAGTCTTCGCGTCTTGAAAACCAATCTTCAACAAATCAGTTGTATCTATATATACATATATACATATATATATATATATATATATATATATATATATATATATATATATATATTTTTTTTTTTTTTTTTAATGTGAAGTGCAATGTATGAGGACTCACTTGTAAAAAAGCTTCGGGTTGCGTTTAGTCTTCTTTGACACACTAATCGAAGTCCCTTCTTGTAACACAGTGGAGGAAGCGTAAAGACGAATATTTATTTGCGGGCTACAGCTGGGTTCATTCACCAGCAAACACCTTTAACTGTTGAGAGCTAAGGAATTGGATACATATATATAAAAATCCAGCTGAGTTTGAAACTCTTCCTTGTGTATTTTTGTTTAGTCTGTCTCCGTCTCCGGGTTCAAACAACCTGTTTTTTATTTTTTTTTTATAGCTCACCTTTCAACTTTCTATTTCTCTAAGTTTTTCGTTCTCAGAAAGGTTCGGAAGCCTAATTAAAACTAATCAATGCAATTTGATGCACAATGTGTTTTAGTAGAAGCGAAGTTAAGATTTGCGTTGCCGTACGTTCTTAGCTCAAGCCGTGACCGTAGCCGAGCCCGCAGCCATAGCCGTAGCCGTACTGTGGCGTAGTCGTCTAAATTTAGCTGGCGAAAATCGTGCTAAACTGAGTGGACTACTATTTTACTCGACTGAATAGGACGCTAATCTCAATAACATGGTCATGTGGTCGTCCAAGTTGTAGCAACTAGTCACGTGGCTGGTGCCACTACAAGTCGGGTGGCCGTGGGACGTGTGTTTGCGAAGCTGCTTCTTTATTCGGGAACCACATCGCTTATCCAATTTCCTTCTCTCATCATAATGGTGCGTCTAGGAGTCTAGACACACCGTTATTAAATCTAGGTGGATGATCAAAAAAGCGATTTGTGTCACATGATAAGACCCCATCTCCCGTACAGCTTATAAGGGCAACACAAAACAATAAAATTAAAAAAAAAATAATAAATCAAAATGGGACTGAATACAAATTCTGAAATAAATGAAATGCTATTCAACGTTGACCAAAATAATACACTAACAGTTTTAACCTGCCACATTTATTTCAATAATTTATACCCAGGCTACGATATATGTTTTGAAATGGTTTTAAATGCGTGTGTTTTTGGGGGCTATAAATAATTGACATTATTTCTAAAAACGAATACTGTGTTGGTGGATGCTTTCGTTGTTGCTGCTGAGGGAGAAAGGGGTTCGTCAAACAACGATGGAGTTGCTTTTATCTCTGTCTCCATTCTTCAATCCAGAGAAAAATAAAGAGTTTGGGTGTAAGCATAATAGCTGTGAACTTTGATATGAAATTTTTTGCGTAGCTTAGTTTGTTTGTGCTCTTGATTGGTGGTACTTCATGATGCGCAATGTGTATGTTGATGTTGTGTTGGCATAATTTTTGTGTATATATTTAGGATCTGTATTTATTGTGTAGAACATGCATGCTGGCAATATTTTGCGTGTGTGATTGCTTTTTTGTAAGAAAAGAATTCTGAACGAAGCATGGGTGGAATGCACGGGATTCGAAACATTGGCGAGTAATCGTACTGCTTGTCTCTGCATAACTTTGAGTTAGTATGTAGAGGTCCACGACCATAAACTCTTTTCTTCATAGTAAACAAGATAAACACCGACTTTGTCGACGCCAAAAAGGTACCAAAAAACGCCCTTACTCGGAGGGAGAGGAGGAGGGAGGGAAAGGGCACAAGGCATGCAACAGATCTACAAAAGACGATCAAGAAACCAAGGAAGTTTTTTTTATAAAGAAGTGGTTATTCCCTTTCAAATATAAAAATACAAACGAGAACACAGAAAAGGTCTGCGACTGATAGCGTTGGCTGTTGCATTGTTGAACGAAGTGTTTTAGAAGAACAGCTTTCAGTCCATGTGCTTCGGAGTTTGGCTTTTAGTAAAATAGATGTAAGAGATGCGCTTTGTGCTGCTGCGAAAGCTTTGGACAGTGCCCGCCACTTTTGTCGTTAGTATGAATGCAGACGCATTTCGGTCGCACAAACCTCTGCTTATTCTTGGAGAACTTTCACTCCAGAAGCTTTCAAAAAGAAGGATTGCTCGTGACATTATATTTTTATACAAAGTGGTTTACGGCCAAATTGATAGCAATCTTGTGTCGTCTTTAAACTTTCATGTACCGGCCCGAGTCGTTAGAAACTCAAGCGTGTCTTATAGATCTATCCAAACGAGACCGTCCCCTTTGGCTAGAATTCAAATTTGTTTAAATGAATTTCCGACTCATGCAGACATATTCTTAAATTTTGCTGCGTTCAAACGACTACTTGATATGCATATTTTTAGTTTATGATTGTGAAATGTTTTAATTTCGGGAGCATATGTCGGGGGGGGGGGGGGGGGGGGGGGTTGTTGAGATTCTGTACTGTTTCAGGTGTTTTTTTTCCCCTTTTTAAACTTCTTATGTGCCACCACACTGTAACCAATAGGTTGTTCTGGGGCATTATACAAATAAAGGATAATTATTATTATTATTATCATTCCACTCCCTCTTTCTTCAAACGGTGATCTGGCGCCACTTCTGGGAGAGCGAATTTAAGGTCACATCAGATTCGCCACGGGAACTTAGGACTACCTCTCGTTTCGACATACCAGGAGTGAGAACGCGATATGGTGAAAGTACGCGCGCTTTTTATGTGCCGAAAGTGTTCAATGATTTACCAGACTCAATATTTTCCATTACCTCAAACAAGAAATTAAAGAAAACTCTAAAAACAACATTTTCTGACGTATCGCGACAGTGACTGTGAGCTTCATGTGATATCGGTGAAACGTTGATTATTCTGTTTGCGATATTATTTTCCTTTTCATTTCTCAATTTTGTCCTGAAGTAGATTGTTGTTCTATCTGCATCATCGTGAGGCCCTAAGACCTCTGCGAGTTTGCCCAGTGATTTTTTTTTTTTCGTTGGTGCTCTTTTTGTTTTTAGTGCCCTACACTATTTGTAACTACAGTCTTGGTCTGTTCGTCCCGACGTTCTGCTTCGCCTTTCTTCAATACGGACGTACAAGTGTACGTGTGTGTGTGTGCGCGCCAATGAGCGCCGTTTCTTTTATTTAGTGCTCCGACTGATCTGCCGGCCCAGCGGCTAACTGCGTTCGTCCTGCGGGAGCAATGACAATTTTTTGTGTAATTTTCTTCTTTTATTTTTACACACTGTGTGACAATATGCGAGCTCGCCCTTCGATTCTTCTCTTGCTGGATCTGGTCCCACAAGCCCTTGCCGGCTTTGACCAGGTCCGAAGCTGAACTTGGTAATTCTTCTCTCATGAATAAATATTATTATTATTATTATTATTATTATTATTATTATTATTATTATCTTGCGTTTTTCTCAGAGTCGTTCAGGCGTCGTTTGCTGGTACCGTTTTGACTGTCAATCACCGGCTAGTCTTAATTAAAATAAAAACATGTATGTAGAAACACCCAGTACAAGCAAAAGCCATTTTATATGTTCCCAACTACTCTGACAAGCGTAGTCATTTACAAAACAAAAACCTATAGTGAGTTACAAAAAAGAAAAAAAGAAAACGTCTCCGTGCTTTGAAAGACACTAGGACAAAGTTCATCAACCTGACTTCCGGTGACATTTCGAGCCGGAGGATATGTCACGTGAAACCGTTCGATAGTGTGACCGACGCACCAGGTTTCTTTTGTGGGTGGCACCTTAAAGCCAATGGCTGGCACAAGCGATTTTGTGATCATAACAACAACCAACATTGTTCTTGAGAGAAGTCGGTGTCTTGGTATATAAGCGACCGTACCATGATTTACCAATTCAAAGCAAATTATACACATGTTGATGTTGTGAGGTATAACCAAAGTACTGCCCATTTATCTTTTAACATATTTGAGCAGGCCTTTTGCAATAGGCTTAAAGGGGCACTGAAGTCGATTCTGAGATCGTTCTTTTATGCTGAAAGCTTAATCGAGACGCTCTAAGCATCCTAACAAGCCCAAAATCACAATACTGCGTAGCTTATTTCCCCGTTAAAAACCTGTTCAAAGATCGCGACACGCTCTTTTTGGGAAGATTTTTCTTCCAAGTAAAGTGGTCGACGAAGGGCGCTTGTCGTCGAGTTGCAAGCCGCGGTAAGAAAGAGGAGCTTTATTCGAATGTGTACCTATTAAACTCTCTTCGAAACGAGTTATAATAAAATTATTCCAAATCTGCACGTATTGTAGGGCTTTCATTGGTAAACACAATGTAGTCCGTGAGAAAAATGGTCCTGAGATGAATAGGCGGTTTTTGAAATATAGGACTTGGTATATCCGAGAACTAACACCTTTTAAACAATATAAGATCAAAATCGACACATTTAAAAAATTACTGAAGTGTCCTTTTAAAGCACCTCTTAGTTTTCAAGCAAACAAATCTTATGATCATGCACTACTTAAAGGGTAACTGCAAAGAAAAAAAAGTTTTTTTTTAAACAGCCTAATTGGGACAAGCATGTCACAAAACAAATGTTCCGCGAAAAAAAATATTTTTTTTATCAATATTTACGCCACAGGACGTAATTTAGTAGAGTCAGAATTTCTCCACATTTGAAACTCCCGCTCTTTCGACCCCCGCGGAAGAGGAGTACGCCCCGCCCCTCACTCTCCTTGCGTTGCGGAGTTGAACGACGCAGCGTCTCGACTTCCGGCAAGATCTGGCAACCACGCCAGGCCGTGGTATTTTTTTGGTTTGACGCGGTTGGCGAGCACATGTAGCGAAGACGTGACCGGAGAAGTGCCCCTGTGATGTTCCCGGAAGATGGAAAGTATCGTTCGTAATCGTCGTGCGCGCTTTCAAAGCGAAGGGAGTCACAGAATCCACAAGTGCGCAACCACGAGCCAAGGTTCACGACAGCGCTGCGTTGGTTTCGGCGATCTCGTTCCGTTTGGTGCAACACGGCGATGAGACAGAGCTGAAACGTTTGTGGTGTGTGTAATGCGGTGCTAACACGGAGCGCAAATTGGTTGTTGTGGGGTTGACGTTCAACCAGTTAAGTCCCGTCGTCGTCAGCTGATCCAGTCAAACTGGTCCGGGAGGACGCTGGGAGCGTTCTTAAAAGTAAATCTGCCTCGTTCTGTTTCAAAATGTGGAAGTTTCCCGACGCATTCCGTGAGTAAAAAGCTGCGGGCGTTTTCAACAAAATTACTACGTTTTAATTGAACAATGGACTCCGCATTGTTGTCCTAAATCTGCCGTTTTTATGCTTCGTGTTGGACTGCGTTTGCA